GCGCCTCGGGAACGCCCCCGGTGGGGAGGCCCTCCCAGCCCCTCCCGGGCACACCACACAGCACCAGTGAGGGCCGTCCTGCCCCTCTCCACTCAATCAGCAACCGGCGTGACAGATTGTGTATTCCGGATGCGACGCGGGACGTCGGCGTGGGCCCCCTTCTCCCCCCCCCTCCCCCCATCCCCACCTCATTTCTCCGTCTGCACCGAGGTCCGAGGGGGCGGAGGAAGGGAGGCAAGCGGGAGGCAAACCTTTCTGCCGCGCTCTGCCCTCGCCAACGCGAGTGCTGATGACCATCCCTCCGCGTCTCGCTCTCGCTCCTCGTTATGCCCCCTCCCCCCTCTCTCCCTATCTCTCGACACACTCGCTGCCCCCTTTCTCTGCACTTCTGGCCTCCCCTCTCTCATACGAGGTCCGACGGCAAACAATGAAAATCACACGTCGAGTCGACCTTGTTGACTTGTTTGTGTGTTTTGTGAGCCGTTTGTCCATAAGACGGTCGTGGGGCGTGGCCAGCGGGCTCTTCGTGGACAAGATGTATGTATGTGCCATTAGAGCAGACTGGCAGAACGCGCAGTGAAGTCGTGAAGGGCGAAGGCAGTCGCCGTTGCATCAACACTCAAAATCATTCACAACACAAACCACATTCGGTCTTTCACATGGCGACCTCAGTCGACCTCAGGTAGTTGGAGGTATTCAAACACGTCGTGGCCGCGTCGGCCCCAGCCCCCGGCCCCACGCGCGGCGTGGCGGCGTGGGGTGGGAAGCATTGTTACAGGAAAAGAGGGAAAAGCAATGAGATTGAAAACATGAGGCTGCCTCTGCCTTCAGGCGGGCCGCAGCTGCCAGCCAGTTTTTGTGTACGAAAAGCTGGGGCGGGCGTGGCGGAGTAGAGCCTGGCGGGGCGCACCGCTGAGGAAAAGTGGGGTTGATCGGCCCCGCAGAGAGTTTCGGTGGTGTACAACGTGTCTCCTTAGAGAAACCCGAACAACTAAATTTCCCTCATGAATATGTTTCCCTATTTCCTTTTCTCCTCTAGCTCGGAGCGACATATTTATAAAGCAGTACTGACGAAAGCGTGGCAGTGCTGCCCGTAAAGCCCCGTATTCCCCGTAATCACTCACCACTGCGAGATTAACAGCGACGGTAGCGAAGAGCAAGCAGAATACATTCACCGAAAAAAATGTTCTCAATTCTAGTACAGGGAATTAAATTTGGCGAGTGAATAAAAGGGGTTGAAGTCGCATTTGTCTGGAAAATTTAAGGCAAATCCCTAAATAAAGAGCATAGGTTTCTGAGTCTATAAGAAGACTTTTTATCAGTTTTCACAAGATTCCTTGCGCTGTCTCATTTTTATTGCATGATGAATTTCTGGATTTCTCGTGGCCAAGTGGCTTTTTCTCCATGAGCCCGCTGTGGGGAGTCGGAGTCTCTGATGGAGGACTGGGAAGATGACGGCAGGGGGTCGGGGCCAGGGCAGGGGGGCAGACAACATTAAGATCCGACAAATTAGACGAGGAGGTTTTAGGGGAGCGAAGCGCGAAGCGAGATGACCGTAAAGCTGCAGTCTCCTGGAAGAACAGAGCGCGGGAGGAGCGACGCGCTGGACCGCACGGGTGGAGTGCGGCACGGGGTGCTTGTGGTCTGGTCGGAGCTCCGTCTGGGATTCTCTGGGCGCCGGGGCCGGGCCGAGGGCGGGGATCAGCGGAGCGCAGCGCCGGCAGCAAAAGTACCTGCCGGCGGACAGGCTCACTAACAATACCGAACAATACCCTGGATTCAGTCCGACGACTTATTTCAAGTAGAAACGAACGTGTGCGCTCCTTCCTGTTCCCACCCAATTTGATCCGCGTAACCGCTCTCGTAACCTCGCAGTGTTCGAAATTGGACCCGTTTGTTCCCTGGGCTGGAAAACTTTTTTTCTGTTTTTGGAGTTTTTATTGTGGAAGAGAGCTTGCATGATGTAGACATCTGATTGGTTCAGACCGCGAGCAGCTCATAGTTATTGTCCTTCCTGTGGCTGAGGAGGATCCCCCGTGCGGGTCCATGTGTTGGCGACAATGACGCACACGCGGGGGACAAGCGATGCGGGCGGGGCCCTTCCTCCGCTGGCGCCGCCGCCCGTGGCCGCCCAGGAAGCGCTTCATTGCCCGCTGCGCCGGCGAGCGGGGTGGCGTCAGCGGCGGCGTCACGGCGGACGGGACGGGGATCCAATCGTCAATCTGCGACGGATTTGGGCCATTTCTGTGGGTCCCTCCTCCCGAAGAAGATCCCACTCGGGCTGCCCGAGCCCCCGAATATGGTAATCCGGGGCGGGGCGGGGGGCGAGGCGAGGCGGGGTAGCGCACGCTCCAGCCCCACGGCCCCCGCGGCCCGTGGGCTGGGCCCGTGACAGCGCGAGCAGATCCCTCGCCAAGGTCAGGGCTATGTCGGCTGTCGGCCCCCCTCGATTCAACGATCCCTGAAAAGAGTGACATTACATACGCGTCGAATAATGTGAGGCTCGCGGTGGCCGCGCGCCACAGGGTCAGGGCGCCGTGACGAAAACGGCCGAGAGAGAGAGGGGAGGAGGCTGCATTCGTCCATTGCCCACTTAACGTGGCGAGGGGTTGGTACTTTCTTTAACACGTTTCCTGTGGTATGACTACTATGTGGTCACGACCCCATGTTAAATCAAAGGGACCAGAAATGAGCCGCAGAGAACGTGTTAAATGGTAGAATTAAACAAAACAAATGCCAGTCTCCGGAGCTTTAGAAGAGACCACGTTACCGCGAAGCTCAGAGCAGCAGGCTGAGTTCCAGCTCCAGATCTAGCTCTGCTTTAGCTTCAGCTTTGTAGCTTTATAGCTCTAGTTCCAGATCTATCTCCAGCTCCAGGGGACCGCGGGCTGGGGGCCGCTGCTGCACGGGTACCGCGGTGGCCTTTGGCGCCTCGGGAACGCCCCCGGTGGGGAGGCCCTCCCAGCCCCTCCCGGGCACACCACACAGCACCAGTGAGGGCCGTCCTGCCCCTCTCCACTCAATCAGCAACCGGCGTGACAGATTGTGTATTCCGGATGCGACGCGGGACGTCGGCGTGGGCCCCCTTCTCCCCCCCCCTCCCCCCATCCCCACCTCATTTCTCCGTCTGCACCGAGGTCCGAGGGGGCGGAGGAAGGGAGGCAAGCGGGAGGCAAACCTTTCTGCCGCGCTCTGCCCTCGCCAACGCGAGTGCTGATGACCATCCCTCCGCGTCTCGCTCCTCGTCTCTATGCCCCCTCCCCCCTCTCTCCCTATCTCTCGACACACTCGCTGCCCCCTTTCTCTGCACTTCTGGCCTCCCCTCTCTCATACGAGGTCCGACGGCAAACAATGAAAATCACACGTCGAGTCGACCTTGTTGACTTGTTTGTGTGTTTTGTGAGCCGTTTGTCCATAAGACGGTCGTGGGGCGTGGCCAGCGGGCTCTTCGTGGACAAGATGTATGTATGTGCCATTAGAGCAGACTGGCAGAACGCGCAGTGAAGTCGTGAAGGGCGAAGGCAGTCGCCGTTGCATCAACACTCAAAATCATTCACAACACAAACCACATTCGGTCTTTCACATGGCGACCTCAGTCGACCTCAGGTAGTTGGAGGTATTCACATTCAAATCGGGCGCCAGGTCTGCAGACCGCGTTTCGGCAGTATGCGGCTCCACCGCTACCTTCGTCACAAAAGACCCCCCCCCCCCTCCACCTCCGACCGCGCCTCGCTCCTTCTAACCACTCCGCGTGCCCGTGCGTTCTTCGTTCGCTCGCTCGCCTCGTCGCGGCACGGGCGCCACTGCTGAGTGGCGCAGGGGCAGGGTAGACTCACCCGCAAGACACCCGCGCGCTCGGGTAGCCTATCCACCAGTTGGCAGGCGCCATGGCGCTTGCCTGTAAACAACAAAGCCGATCGATGGGCGTGGGTGTGCAACCAACGACAGTAGCCTCTCCACATAGGGCCTCTCCTCTCGGTCCAACTCCCGCATCAGGCTCCCTTCCCTCGCCGGGCTCAGGCCGACCCGGCGGCGGCGGCCTTCCCTCTGCTCTGCGGTTTCCGATTTGAATCTAAAAGCCATGGTTTGTGAAATGTACGTCGTTCACAACTTTTAAAATGCTAATAGCGGTCGCAACAGTGCCCTTGTACGAGTGCGGGCGATACCGAAACCTCAGTTCAGTTTTATTTTTAAAAAGTAAATACATCTACAAGTTTATGGTAAAGGAAATCAATGTCAAGATACACAGGATTTGGTTGCAAAGTTGCGAGGGATTGCCCGTAGGCAGGATGATAGAATGAGACGACCACACCTCACACCTGCACAGCTGTACCGGGGTGCGGTCGGTATGTCCAGTATATATTTCACGACACGGCAACGCCAAAGTTACTACGCACCGCAACAGTAACAACAGTTCGCGAGGAATCCCTCTCCGCACATTGTCCGTATGTCCTGTTCGCTATACACTCGCCGATACAATCTAGTGGCGAGGGGCCGGCCGAGGACAATAGCCGCCCCCCGTTCCCCCTCGGCGCCGCCGCCGCGCCCATGACCACCTCACCTCCACCACACACGCGTCGCACATAGCGCACAATGCTCACACTCGCGGGCGGGCGCGGCAGACTCGAATCTTTGCCGTTCGCATGACGAAACGCTGTGCGATGTGTGAGAGCCAGTGCGGTGATCTGATCTCGCCACGCCACGCCGCCGCCATCCGGTCTGTGGGTCTGCTGCGCTCTCCGGCGTGCTCTCGTCCTGCGGGCCCTGACGCCGCACCGCGAGTCGCGACCCCGCTAATCGCACATCAGGTCCACACAAGAACCCCCCCCCCTTTTCCCCTCAACGACACTCCCTCAGGCGCACCTCACGTCCCGCACGCCTGAGAAGGGCGCCAGTCTCTGCGTCGCCCGCGCACGAGGTCGTTCGTCCTCCTCCGCCCGCCGTGCACACGGTGACTCGTGCGTCCGGACGCACACGGCGGGTGCGGCAGACGCGCTCAGTAGTGACGCGAACGACACCGGGTCGAGCGACCCGCGTCCGCCGCGCAGAGACAGCCACCGCGCACGGCCGCATGAAACAGACGACGGCTGCAGCCTGCGGCCGCGGGCGACAGGGCCCGGCCGCGCCCGCCGTCGCCGCATCGCCCACGGCGACAGCGCCCACGCCGAGGCAGCGATCGACGGCGTCAGTCAGCTTGTCCCAGGTTGGCTGCCGGCGGCTGCTGACGCCAACGCCACCGACCTTGCCGACGGCGCCGAGGCCCCCCACAGACCTAACCGACCTCCCTCTGCCCTCGGCCCCAGGTGTCCACGGCCTCCCTGAGCGGCCACCCCGGGCCGCCGCTGCCGCCGCTGGCCATGTGCCGCCACCAGGGCACCTGGGCGGGCGCGCGCTCCGTGAGCGGCAGCAGCGTGGTGCGCGGCGTGGGCGACGGCAGCGCGCGGAGCAGCCTGGCGGGCAGCACCAGAGGCAGCACGGGCTCCACGCGGCGCCGGCACGCCGCCCGCAGGCCGCGGCGCCGGCCCCCGCAGCCCACCCGCGGCGTGGGCTACACGGGGAGGCACGCGCCACAGGTAGCAGCCGAGCAGAGCGGCCCGTCCGACAAACTGAGCGCCGCCGTCACCGAATGCTTGTTGTGCTGCAGGACGTGGTGCTCGGCGCCAGCCTACTCTACTGCCAGTGCGCCCTGATGTGCCTCTACATGGGGATGGTGCGCTACGACTATGAGAGGGACGAAGTCCTCAAGACGGACCAGCAATTGTTAAACAAGAGTACGACAAACTTATTCTTTCATACCCACGGGAAAGATCGGGAAAATCGGATAGTGGCGGGGGGGAGGGTTGCTCTGCCGTTCGCCTGGAAAACTCCAGGGTATGTCGCGAGGACCTCGCGAGAACGCGAGGCTGCCTCCCTTGACTGAGCATCGCGGCCCGCGCAACGCTTCGCCACGCCCTCGGGCGCAGCGGGGTGTGTGTCAAGGCGGCGAGGATTTCGTTTGGGTGCCGACTGACTGCGTAACCCGGGCCACGGAGGAAATCACACAACCGACAAACACACACAAACACTCGGGCATACGCACGCGCGCGTGCGCTCACATACGCACACACACACACACACACATCGCACGCCCGTTTATACACAACGCTGTCAATCCCCGCACCCTCAACCCCCCGGGTATCGAATTGGGAGAGGCGAGTGTAAATGTAATGGCCTTGGGCCCCACTCCCTCCACCCACCCCGCCCCGCCCCGCGTGATTTCGCACCCCGATCTGATTGGTCCGGCCCGGGATGGGGTTTTAGTGTTCCAGGATGTGCACGTCATGATCTTCGTGGGCTTCGGCTTCCTCATGATGTTCCTGCGCAAATACGGCTACAGCTCGGTGGGCTTCACGCTCATGCTCGGCGCCCTGATGGTCCAGTGGGCGGCGCTCTGCCAGGGATTCTTCAAGCTCCAGTCGGACGGCAAGATATACCTGTCCATGATCAGGTGGGTAACGACGGCGCTCTTCGTCAGCCGACCTGGCTCGGCCTTTCCTGTGGTTATTATGCATTGACCGGCCCCCATCTCCGGCTCACAGCCTGTTCAACGCGGACGTCGCGACGGCGGCTGTCCTCATCTCGTTCGGCGCCGTCCTAGGCAAGACGACCCCGCTCCAGCTGGTGGCGATGGGCACCGTGGAGATGGTCTTCTTCGCGGCCAACGAGTACCTGTGCCACACGCTGAACATCGTGGACCTGGGCGGTTCCATCATCGTGCACGTGTTTGGGGCCTACTTTGGCTTGGCAGTGAGCCGTGCCCTAGGTCGGCCCGCCGAGAACTCCAAGGAGAGCTCCACCTACACGTCGGACATGTTCGCCATGATCGGTAGGTCAAGGTCTGCGTGCTTCACAGCCGCTCTCTATCACTCTAAAGCTAAACTTAAACAAAAAAAGCTAAGCTCGCGCTAACGTGAAAGCAGATGATGTGGCTTAATTTTAATATTGATATTATTTTGAAATTCTTATTTCACTATCAGAGCATACTATTCGGGTAATTTGGGAGTATGGACCATGAGCTACGTTGCTCCCGATAGGAGTGATAATGTGGTAAGAAGGCGGCTACAGCCACTTGCAGGCTTGTACAAACGGATCCTCCGAGATCCTTTTTAGAAAGCGCAACTGGTCCGCAAAGTCAGAGTGTCCTGTCTCATTAGTGATCTCCAACAAAGTTTCGACGTCCAAACCCAAATCTAAAAAAAAGAAATTCTTGTATTGCAAAGCTAAACAAAAATGTTAACGCGACGGCCAACGTATAAGGGGGGGGAGGGCCAAGGAGGTGCCCCCGCCTTCCTCCTACCTGGGCAGACAAGCCACAGATGACTTGCGCCGTTGCATATGCAACTCACGCGACATCACCCGTCATAGAGCAAGACAAAGGGTGGACTGCGTCGAACGGCCCCCGGGGCGGCGCGGATCGAGACAGGGTGAGACGAGGCGGGAAGCGGTGGACCACTCAGTTAGGCAACCCATAACACACTCGCCGGGAGGGTAGGCAACCCAACCGGTCCGCGGACGGCAGCCACGAACTGGCCCGGGTTGGCTAGGTGGGAAATCCCGACCGGGCCCCAGGCGAAGGCGAAAAAGGTATCTTTTGGGGCCCTTGAAGGCAAAAAGGTATCTTTTGGGGCCCCTTGACGGCAAAAAAGGTATATTGGGGCCCCTCGGAGCAGTTTCCAGACTGGGCCCCTAGACCCCCAGTCCGTGGCTGGCGGACGGTACGTCAACTAATAAAAACTTCAATAGGCGCGAATCCTGAAGGACAAAAGTTAAACACACGCGCAACGGGGACGAGGGGGTAGCCGCAGCCGGTCACACCGCGAACCACGACGAACAAGGGCCTCGCCGAAGCCCGACACCTCTCCAAGACACCAAAACAAAGCGAGTCTAAGAAGGGCAGAAGTACAAGAGACGGCGCCGCCACCAGAAAGATACTAATTTTCACAAAACGGGGTTACATAAACCAAAACTCAAAGTGCAAAATAGTGATGCAGAGCGCTGCACTGACAAAATAAACCGACTCAGCCCCGGCCGGCTTGACTCGCTCTGCTCTCACCCATAGAGGGGTTGAGCGGGTAGAGCTGTGGCCGGCGAAGAAGAAGAAAGGAAGAAACTGTTACAAGCAAGATGGCCGCCGGGCGCCAGGGGGGTAGTGCGGGGAGGAGCGGGGGCACGGCAGCCATCTTGCTTGTAACAACTTCTTCCTTTCTTCTTCTTCGCCGGCCACAGCTCAACCCCTCTATTGGCCAAGCCGGTCAGCTGACCCTATCGTCTGCTAAACCGGCTGGCTGCACCTGAGCGCTGTTAGCGCCCAGGTAACCCCAAACAAGGGGCGGAACCGACCAACAACCCCACCCCCTCGGAATTTCGCGCGTCACAGGGGTCAGGGGTCGGGAGGCAAGCGGTAGGCGAGGGCGAAGGGGGGGGGGGCGTTGTTGACGTCCCGACGCCCGACGTCGCACGTCCGGACTAACGAGAAGGGGGTGTCGACCGAGTGGGGGTGGGGCAGCGCAGTGCTAGGCTAGGCCGACGTCCAAGTGGGCATCTCTGCCGTGTGAAGTAAACTCGTCAGACTTGTAGAACTGAGCTAGCGTCTCAACATTTACGAGTGATTAGTACGGCAAGCATCATGCCAGCGCGCGGGAGCGGCCACAAGCAAGCGGAGGGGGTCGTAGCGGGCCGTTTCCGCTTGCTGGTCCCGCCCCCTCCCGTTGTAAACAGAGACGCGGTTGGGTGGGGCCTATCGTAAAGCCCAGGCGCGAGGAGCAGGGCCGGGGTGGGACTGCTGGACGGGCCACCCGCCGCGGCGATATTTCGGGTATACG